TAAAGGAATTGTGTGGAACCCAGCATTTTAACAGTGTATAAATAACAACAACAAAAATGTTTGACCTTGATCTTTCTATAACCTTGAAAAGGTAATTTAAATAATTTAAAGTGATATATTGTCTGGGTTCATTTTGTACATTACGCAACAAAAATTTTGTAATAAACTGCCGTCACATTTTCTGTTATTTTAGACTTATTTGCCTACATATTATTTCTTATACATTATTTCCCACTACCAGAATAACAATAAAAGTCACTTTGCTAAACTGTAAAATTGAATTTTCAACATCAAAATTCAACAGAGCAGAGATCAACTTCCTATAATGCAATTCACACCTGTAAATAAATGGAAAACACTTGTGAATCAAAATACACAGCATATTATATTTATAGTGTGAATATAAACAAATGTTTTGTCATTCTAAACCTTTGGAACAAAAACATTTTTTAGATATGAAATATAAAAAGATCTGCACTATTTTAGGCTATTTCTTAGATGTTCTTGTTTCCACTGAAGCTCAAGATGCCATTTGCATCATTCTCAAATCACAATGGTATAAAATAGAGCTGAAAACAAACACATACAGTATTCACTAGCGGCCTGAGACTTTGGACCTCGCTGTATATGGATATGAGTGGAGGAGTGTGTTAATATTAGCAGCTGATCCATAAGCACACACACACACACACACTGTGAGTAGTCTGTTGAGTGGGCTGCATGTGTGGGTCACTGTGTGCAAATCACCGCCTCCATCACTCGGTATGTGTAGTGTGAATGTTAATGCAGGTGCACTGTGGATCAGATGGCATAAACACATCATTCCTACTATACAGTATATTTCCACTGCCTTAATATATGACTTTTTATTAAAGCATTGAAATAATTATGTTAATCACCATTAAGTGAAAACAGGACTGTAGCTTAATTCATTTCAATACAAATGTAGAGATTTTTTTTTTAATTAACCAATATAAAAATGTTACAGTTTTTCTCAGTGACATTGGTGCATTTCTCACAACACTATTTACATTTGCACAACAGGTAATGCATTTCTCAAAACAATTAGTCATTTGTGCACATCATAGTAGCAGTTTCTCATTCCTTCCAACAAATCGCAAATGCTTTTGGACATGCATCACTTGCTTTCATACAACTCTCTGCTGTTTATAACATTATCTTTTGCTTATGTCATGTCAGTCAAAATGAACTAAACTCGTGAATGCTGAATAGTCATTCCATATAAAACAATAGTCCTCATTTCATTACTTGAGTCATTACATACAAAATGTTGAACCAGTTTTTTAAAATCTGTCAAGCTAATTTTATACAAAATAAAAAAAAAAATCCTGAAAATGTCTTCTAAACTGATCAATTTCATAAATGATTTACAGACCTGTGTATGTTGTAGGTTCAGTTCTAATACGTACTGCAATATTAGCCTCTTTCACACAGTGATACCAGTTAATATATGTAAAATTTCCGGAAATACTTTACTGGTAAATTCAAAAAAGTGCTGTTCACACAGGCGAGAATGTTATGGAATTTTTCAGGAAAAGGGCATTCACACATCCGTTCCAAAATACAGATAAATTCTGACATCATTAACCAGAAATGAGCTCTTAACCGCTGGGCTTGTATTAGTAAACATTTGACTACATCACAAACTCTGTGGATGGATCAGTATTGTGAACAACTTTGACGAAAACATATAGAGAAACACTTTCGCATGTTGAGATGTACATGATACGGGTATGTGCTGGCGCTCACGTGCTGTTTCACGGGCACACGCAAAGCTTGAAGGTAAACAAACAACGGCTTGTCATAAGCATGTTATCGATAATTGTTTACACGGCTGGCATTAAGATGAACATATAAACGTTATCTGACTAATTTCTAGCAGCTAAATGAGTCTGGGAAAATATTCAAAGGCTTTTATTCTCACAAACCGTGCGGACTTGAATGCGTCTGACTGTTCTGATTGGCTAAAGCAGACGTCTCACGTCAGCACGTTCTGGATGTGCACTCGCTCTTTCCGGCAATCTTCCAGCTGCGTTCACACATCGCAGCATTCCGGCAAATTACCGGTAATGTTACAACTTCTCTTATCGGAAAATAGCCAGAACGAATTTACAGTTTTTTTCAAAAAGGGCCTGTTCACACATACACACCTTTCTGGAAAAATTGCCGGTAATTTTCCGGAAAGTCTGAATGTGTGAAAGGGGCTATTGTTTACAGTTGTGCACAGCTATACCCAAAGGGAGTTTATGTTTGTTGTAAATAAGGGTGTATTTGTTCTTTTGCACAATGCTGTGAATACATTGTGAATGCTGTGACAAAGAGAAAATGCAGTGAAAATGTAAAACATACATATTCAGTGTCTTGTACTCAGACAAGACTTTTTTGCATTGGAAAACACAGAGTAAACTGTCATATTGAAAACACAACAAAGCCATTTGACTATCTTGCTCATAAACAATGGTGTCAGGACTTTTCATCTTGATGACACTGACACTTTCATTGACATGAATACTTGCTTTCGAGGATCGAGCTATCTGATTCGAGCAAGTGACGCGCTTTTGCAGGTTATCAACTAAGTTTTGCAGTTTGTAAAAATTGTTTTGAGAAATGCATTAACTTTTGTGCAAATGTAAATAGTGTTGTAAAAAATGCACCAAAGCCACTGAGAAAAACTGTAGACACAACACTAAATTACTAAAACTAAAATAAAGGGAATATAGAAAACATAAAACAACACAAGAAAAATCTAACATAATGTAAAACATTAAAAAAAACTTTAAATAGAAAAATCAAAAACATTTTTAAGGTAAATCGTAAAATGATAAAATATACTGTAATATAAAAACTGCTAAACAAAAACACTGTTAATAATCCAAAATGATAGAAAATTAAAAGTAATATCTAAAACCAGAAACCGTATGTAAAGATGTGCATAAAGTACACATTTTATTAATATAATAATATTTTATAAATATATCAATATATTTATTTATGCATAATACAAATACATATATTAAAAACATTAATATATTAATTGATAATATATGTAGATGAATACTAAATAATTATATACTATCTATCTATACTGTAATACATCACAAACGTTACAATAAAAGCACTGCTATGAACACTCACCGGCCACTTTATTAGGTACACCTGTCTAACTGCTCGTTAACAGTAAATTTCTAATTAGCCAATCACATGGCAGCAACTCAATGCATTTAGGCATGTAGACATGGTCAAGACGATCTGCTGCAGTTCAAAAAGAGCATCAGAATGAGAAAGAAAGGTGCAAATGCTTTGTTGATGCCAGAGGTCAGAGGAGAATGGCCAGACTGGTTCAAGCTGATAGAAAGGCAACAGTGACTCAAATAACCACTTGTTACAACCGAGGTATGCAGAAGAGCATCTCTGAACACACAACGCATCAAACCTTAAGGCAGATGGGCTACAGCAGCAGGAGACCACACCGGGTGTCACTCATGTCAGCTAAGAACAAGAAACTGAGGCTACAATTCGCACAGGCTCACCAAAATTGGACAATAGAAGATTCTGATGAGGCTCGATTTCTGCTGTGACATTTGGATGGTAGGGTCAGAATTTGACATCAACAACATGAAAGCATGAATCCATCCTGCCTCGAATCAACAATTCAGGCTGGTGGTGGTGGCGGTGTGATGGTATGAGGGTTATTTAAAGCCTCTTCTTCTTGATGGCCCTCGTAATGTAAAGATCTAATGTATTCATAACTGTTTTTACACATACGTTTCACATTTGGTAATCATGACTAGTATCTATATTTCAAACATCTAAACTGGACTCATCTCTCCCATACAGTATGGGTCTTTTCAAACATACATGACAGATTCAACATATGTTGTATACATTTCATGCTTTTCTGACAGATGGTTCTCATTGTATCCTCAAGTCCTCTCTCGTGCTCTTTTATGCCTTAACCTGTCACCTGTTTTCAAAGACATATAATGGCGGATTCATAGGGTCCTCCACTCACCCAATTAAATGTGTCTTCATATAGGTTTAGTAAATAAAAATCTTCATCACGGACCACCGTGTCAATGCCACAGCCTACCTGAGTATTGTTGCTGACCATGTCCATCCCTTTATGATCACAGTGTCATTAAGCTCGAATCATCTCAGACTGGTTTCTTGAACATGACACTGAGTTCACTGTACTCAAATGGCCTCCACAGTCACCAGATCTCAACCCAATAGAGCACCTTTGGGATGTGGTGGAACTGGAAATTTGCATCAAGGATGTGCAGCCGACAAATCTGCAGCATCTCTGTGATGCTTTCATGTTAATATGGACCAAAATCTCTGAGGAATATTTACAGTACCTTGTTGAATCTGTGCCACAAACGATTAAGGCAGTTCTGAAGGCAAAAGCGGGTCCTACCCTTTACTAGTAAGGTATACCTAATAAAGTGGCCAGTGAGTTGTACAGTATTTGCAGTTAAAGTAAAAATGATAAGCCTTCTTGTAATATATATATATATATATATATATATATATATATATATATATATATATATATATATATATATATATATATATATATATATATATATATTTTTTTTTTTTTTTTTATTTTATTTTATTTTTTTTTTTTAAGTGATGCTTGATGGAGTAAACATTTTAAACATAGCAGTTTTAAATATTTAACTTCTGTAACTATTTTCTTTTGTCTTTGCCATGATGACTGTAAATAATATTTTACTAGTTATTTTGTAAGATACTAGTATTCAGCATTCATATACTGTATATATGAAGATATGTTATCTCCACAGCCTTTTCTCTTGATACATCCATTTATAGAAATACTACTGTAAATGACGACACAAGCACATTCATTTTTAATGGCAGCCAGCTCATGAAGTACTGCATAAGAGGAGTGAGTCAGATGCTCTGGTTACGCAAGAGTCAGAAACGTCACATCAGTGCAGATGCTGGATCTTTACCTCTCATGGTGGGCGGTGTGTAGACGCTCTGTTTCCTCTGGGCTGGAGAAAGCTGCGCGTTCTGGGCCTGGAGAGTGGACAGTGGAAAAGCACAGCGTGAGAGACGGGATCTGATTTCACTAAGACTCTATTTCAGGAGCTTGGAAATCAATGACAACTGCATCAGAGCTCCATCCATCTTCAGCAGCGTCTCAACACAGAGAGACGAGCAGGAGACAGCAGTCTAACACTCATGTAAAGTGCTGGGGTTAAACTTTTGCATTTGTACAGGACTCACCTCTGTTTGATGGCCTGTAGACTGCTTGTCATCTCCTGAAGAGGGAAAACAATGGAGGGATTTAGTTTTAATGCATGTTTGAACATGGAAAATATAAGAAAAAAGCAACCAAAAATAAAAACACTTTATTGTAAAAAAATTATATGACAAACAATCAAGTCAACAGTTGATTTGAGGTTACTTTAACTCATTCACTCATTCATTGATTTCCTTCAGCTTAGTCATTTTTTCCAGGGTGGCCACAGCGTAATAAACCACCAACTTTTCCAGCATATGTTTTATGCAGCGGATGACCAAGCCACAACCCAGTACTGAGAAAAACCCATACATTTACACATTCACACACACTCCTACACTACGGCCAATTTAGTTTATTCAATTTATTTGGACTGTGGGGGAAACCACAGCACCCAGAGGAAACCCACACAAGTTACTTTAACTCATTTTAGAAAGTTATTCAAGTTTCAACAATTTATAAAAGCTTTAATTTCATATTTTTTAGTCAGTTTGATTGGTGACGGGGAAAGTCCATCTGATTCAATTAAGCATTTTAAGGCAGGAATATTTTTTAAAGTGCACAAAATGAAGAGAGCTTAGATTAAATACATTACAATAATCAAAAGAGACTGTAAATACATTTCAATATTTACATTGATAAAAATAATTTTATCCTAAATGTTATCCTAAACCTTTTTTAATTTTATTATATAGAAATTATTTCTATTTATTTGACAGACAGACAGACAGACAGACAGCCAGCCAGCCAGACAGACAGACAGACAGACAGACAGACAGACAGACAGACAGACAGACAGACAGAACAGCTGAAGCTCATTATGGACTAATTACTGTAGGACTATAAAGACACCTCATTCACACATACACTCTTTTCTGAGTCTTGTAAACTGTAAGTGAGCATCACAAAGTGTTTTCCTTATCTTGCCTTGTCATGTTTTGACCTTTGCTTTGTTTTATTGTTTATGTTGTTTTGGCACATGTCCTGACCATTCGTCTGTATTCGGACCATGCTTTTGGATTATCTACATGTTCCTGTCTGTCTCTGTTTTGAGCTTTTGCCTGCCTGACGACTTCTCAACTCTGTTGTACCCAGACTCATTACAATATCATTATTAATAATTATAACTATAACACATTTGTTTTCATCTTAATGTGTTATAATACCATACTAATTTAGTTATAACACATTAGATAAAAAAAATAATTATATATATATATATATATATATATATATATATATATATATATATATATATATATATATATATATATATATATATATACATTTCAACCTACTATTAATAACTAATACTATAATTTACTGATATAATAGCTGAAAACCACTATTATATTAATATTGTGCACTAAATCAGCATTATATATAAATGTTATCGGTTTACAAAATGATCTGCTCTCAAAATGTTCCCAAAACATTAGCACACAAACATTTATACATCCTTCATTGAATCTTATAATCTATGTAAAAATAATGATTTACAGTTTAAAATGTTGCTACGTGTTTCAGAATGTTCAGAGAACATTAAACAGTAAAATTCCTGAAACAATATCAAAAATGTAAAACAGAACTAACTAAAACTGGACATCTTGAATGTTTAGAGAGCATATTGCTTCATAACTCAATGAGAAGTCAAAAAAAAAGTTCCTAGAACAAAAGCAAATTGGCTGTTTGTACCAGACAACACCACAGAAATGTGAATACAGCCATTCAGAAGCACAGAATATGTATATTAATACATATTAAACCTCTTTAACTTTATTAAATTTACATGCTGAATCACTGATGTGTGCTGGCTTGTCACAGTTCTAAAGTTCAATTTCAAATGGTTTATTTTAGTTTTAAGATCTGAGGTAAACTATTTGCCGCTGCTTAGTATCAGTAGTATGACAATAAATGTTAGGTAAACTGGCATCCAAACTCACATTGTTAGCATTTAACACTGAATAAAACACATGAGGTGTACCTGAGGTAAACACTGTCAGTTTATCCTGTTGTTTAGCTGAAAGAAATAGAAGCTAGTGATGTGCGGATCGATACTAAAATATTGATATCTCCGATACTAGCTTTGTATGTTTTAGAATCGATTATCTTATCAAAATATCAATATTTTAGTTATTTGAAGCAAATATATAGTTTATTGGAAATAACCACAATTACCCTAGTTTTTCTGAATAATACAAACTTAGTCTGAACTACTTGTTCTTCCGCCTGCCTAGTCATGTGCGTAACATGGCACTGTACAAATGCAGAGCAGGCAAGCTAGCCACTCAGTCCGCTAGCATGGCACATGTTGTTCAGTCACGCTGTCATTGGATGTGGGTGACCGCAAACGAAGTATGTATGGAGCTACTTCACTTCCATAAACTCAAATGATGTTGTTTGTGACACGTGTAACAAAACAGTGAGGTACTGTTGTAATACCACAAACCTAATCAAACATCTGCATAGAAATCACAAGACTGACAACGTCATGACTAGGCGGTCAGAGGAAGAGGAAATGAGAGGCACAGGTGCTGCTAGGGCGAAACAGACATCGCTTGCAGAGTCCTTAAGTGGAGCAGGCAGGCACTATCTACTAAAATGGTCGTGCCGAACTGAGTCTGGTTCTCTCAAGGTTTTTTTTCTTCACTCCCATCAGGTGAAGTTTTTTTTCCCTCTCCGCTGTCGCCACTGGCTCGCATGGTTCAGGATTGGTAGAGCTATACATCGATGAATTTGCTCTTCAGTGTTTGAACTCTCAGTAATGATTAAATCACACCGAACTGAGCTAAACTGAACTAAACTGAACTTAAACACTAAAAACTGAACTACACTGTTCCAGTTACTATGACCATTTATGTGAAGCTGCTTTGACACAATCTACATTGTAAAAGCGCTATACAAATAAAGCTGAATTGAATTGAATTGAATCTAGGTACAAAGAAAATGTGGCAATGTGGCTGTATTTTTGGGGGCATGGGTTTTTAAGACAATTGATAAAGCAATCGGATCAGATAGGAAACCAGTAGTATCGCATATCACTAATAGAAGCTGTATCTAAAATATAAATTTCAGGTGTTGGTCAGGACAAAAACTATATGGAGAATATTACATCTATCACGTGTCATTGCTTTTATTTAGACTCTGTTACCTTAAATTAGCTTTTAGGCTCGATAGTTAGGAACACTTTTGTTGATGTCGTCAATCTGGCAACCTGCGCTTGCGTTTGTTTTGAACCAGGCATGCAATACCTAGTTCAACTTAGTAAACTTACAGACACCTTTAACTTTCTTTTTTTTTTTCTCAAGGCAACAACAAATGTTTACAGCACTTTTGAGTCCCACTTAACTGATGTACAGGATTGGATCATGTGATCACTGTAAATTATGTTAAAGCACACTAAAAGCAAAGCTAAATTTAAACCAATTGTACCTTGTTTGATCCAGGAATGGAATGTGTGTGATGAGCACAATTTGATTTGAGCCCCCGCTCCCAGCGCTTTCATAATGCAAAACTGCTTTTAGGAGAGCGGCCCATTTCTTTCCCCAACTGCATTAAGAGGGGCTTATACATTATTTCAGATGTTATAAAATCAAGGTCTAATTGTTCATCTGAGATCCCAAAAGACCAGATTCATCTTCCAGGGTTTTCATGATTCTTTTAGGCCGGCTTAGAGTTTCATCATGCTTGCTCTCACTGCTTTTGGAGAGCCTTGAAGAATCCGACTAACTATGCAAATGCTTTGTAAAATCTTCAATATGAAACCCATCAGTCCTACTGCACCAAACACGGTCTGAGCTGAGATCGAACCGGTGATTCTTAGCATGGGAGTCTTTTCTTCTAACAAGGAGGCTAAAGACCATGATCCTAGCATCTGTCACTCGAGTACCCTTCGAGGTCAAAAGAGTGAGGTTTACCTGCATAGCACTTTGCTAGCTGGCGTCCGTTACACTCACCCCCCTAAAGCTCACTTGCATCCCGGACGAGCCCCCACCTGTCTTACTGCACCCAACCCAGTCGGAGCTGGGATCGAACTGGCAATTCTTTGCATGGGGGTCGGTTGCTCTAACAAAGAGGCTGAAAACCATGGCCTCTAGTGTCTGTCGCTAGAGCACCTTTAGAGGTCAGAAGAATGAGGTTAACCTGCATAGCACTTTGCTAGCTGGCCTCTGTTACCAGGCACGTGCACACATAGGGCTCAACCTGTGCAGTGCACATGCCCTTTTTAGTCTTGGATAGAAAGTGCCCTTCCAAAATTATCAAAAGTGCCCTCGCGAACGTGACACACCCTTTGTCCCGCCCTTGAGTAGGCGCGTGACAACACCGCTCTTGAGTACACGCGCTCAACCCCCCCTCCCCCGCTTTACAGTACGCGCGCGACAACACAGCTGATCAGAATGGTTGTTCAAAATTCGCAATAAATTTACATTTTTCAGTACCAACATATTTCAGTTTATCCACTGCTTAAAACATATACTGGATAAGTTGGTGGTTCATTCCACTGAGGCGACCCCAGATTAATAAAGGGACTAAGCCTTCTGTAAAATTAATATTCTGTTGTTCAGAATATTAAAGTGAATGTTTCATATTAAAATTAGAGAATGTTACATACTAAAATTAAAGTTCCTCAGTTAATAAAACAACAAAAATATTTTTCTTAATAAATACATTTTGGTTTGACATCTAAAATGAATGACCGCCTTATATTTTGGAAGCCAATGCATTTATTTAAAGGTATAGTTCCCCCAAAAATGAAAAATTACCCACAATTAACTCACCCTCATGTGGTTACAAACCTTGAATTTCTCTTCCCTGTTGAACACTAGGTGCGCCATGGTGGCGCAGTGGGTAGCACGATAGCCACACAGCAAGAATGTCACTGGTTCGAGCCTCGGTTGGGCCAGTTGGCATTTCTGTGTGGAGTTTGCATATTCTGCAAGTGTTAACGTGGGTTTTCTCTGGGTGCTCCGGTTTCCCCCACAAGTCCAGTCATGCGCTAGAGGGAAATTAGGTAAGCTA